AATGTTAAAAAATCCTCATCCAAGGATATTTTTTCCATTGCCCCTTCCTTCCTTCCTTCCTTCCTTCCTTCCTTCCTTCCTTCCTTCCTTCCTTCCTTCCTTCCTTCTTTTCTTTTACAGACAATGGAAGGGATTTTTAAAATTATTGATTTTAGAGAGAGAGAAAGAGAGAGAAACATCAATGTGAGAGAAACATCAATCAGTTGCCTCCCATAAGTGCCCCGACTGGGAATCAAACCTGCAACCTAGGTATGTGCCCTGACCAGGAATTGAACCTGCAGCCTTTTGGTGTGTGGGACGATGCTCCAACCAACTGAGCCCCCTGGCCAGGGCGATAATATTTTCTTTTTAAAACAACTTTACTGAGGTATAATTTACATATAATTATACCCATCTAAACTGTGAAGTTTATTAAAATTTTACAAATGTTTAACTTTGTCACCACCATCACAATCAAGTTAAACAACATTTCTCATCTCTCCAAAAGCTCTATCTTGCCCTTTTGCAATCAATCCTAAACCCCAGTCCCAGGTAACTACTGATTTGCTAGCTAAAATATTTTAAATCATTTATATAATATGCCTAATTTATAAAATTCTTACAGGACTAAATATCAGGAAAGAACATTTCTTTGATTCAGTGATTCTTTTTTTATATAAAAAGAATAGGATAAAGAACATAAAAGTTTTAATGGGGTTTATAGAGAAAACTACAAATAGTAATAACCATTAATGCTTTTAAAAATAGTGTTCAAATGTATGTTCATATGTTTATTTATAACTTGAAAAATAATCTCTTAATTTAGATATGGGAAGTTTGACCTTTAATTTTGTTTCTTTCAACAGTCATGTGTGATACTTCTAGGCCTCCTCCTCCTCTATGATGTGTTCTTTGTTTTCATAACACCATTCATCACAAAGGTATGATATTTTGAAACCCATGAGAAACATGCTAAAAGACGAGAATCTTAAACCTGCTCTTAGATTATTGGTTTTGCAGATGTTTACCCTGAGTGAGTTCTAACTCTTTTAAGAAAATTGTCATTGAAATTGGTGCTTTAATGGAGGAATTTTTTTTCAAGCCTTTAAGCCATTCTGCGAAGTAAAAAACGTCTCCTGACTGATGTGAATATGAGAATATCTATAAATTTGCTTCCCACCCTTTTTAAAGTATCTTTTCTTATTGTGAAACAGTAAATGTTTGCCGTAGATAAAATAGACGACAATAATAATGAAAATGTGGCATTGCTACTCCCATTTCTGTAGCTGTCATCTGAGAGCACCACACTGGAAATCTGAACACCTAACGTGTACCCTCGTAACCCTGGATAAGTCAGATAGCTCTTTGTGCTTCAGTTTCCTAATCCATTGTGTGAAGGCGTATTACTAGCATTTCATCCTCCCTCTTCCACCAGTAAAATTCTTTTGGTTGCAACTAACAGAACCCAACCTACCCTTTCTGTACCAAAAAGGTCCCGTCTATCCAAGCTGTGTGTAGAGGCCAAGATGGGACTGGCCTCTGCAGAAACTAGACGCAGGGCTACATCTGCCCCCTTTCTGCTTCTGTCCATGTGTTCATGGTCTCAGACTGGCTTTTTCCATTATGTTAGAATCATAACAACTGGCATCTCCTAGGTCATCTATTTGCAGCTCTGCCACTAGCTCCTCAATAAAATGAAGGTGCTGTTCTCAGGATAAGGGAGAGGTGTTGGGTGAATGTGATAGTCTTTAATTATTTGCCCAGTTTTTCCACTTTGTCCCTATTCCTATCTCATGAATATATTTTAAATTATTGTCTAATTCTCTCACTTCCCCTATTTTATTTTGTGTCTTGCTTTGTAACTTTCTATCATCTCTTTATCCTTTGTCACTTTCACATATTTAATATTTGATATTATAATCACTACTTTTTCCCCCATTAGTTCTTTATCCATTCTTTAGCCCCTACCATCTATAAAATCACTGTAAAACTCTGCACTTCCAGTAGGTACTTGCTAAAATGGCGTAAGTCAAGCCTATGTCCCATTGGAGAGGTAAAATTGGCCCAAATCACAACTACTCCAGCCATCTTACTAGCACCTTTCTGTGCCTTGATGATGAGCCATTTGACTAATCGACTTTATTTGCAATAGTACCCCACAAAAGCATAGAACTAGTATTTCGGATTATAACAAAAATTGTTAACTTATTAAAGCATTTTTTTTAAAGTTCTATCTAAAGTTGCCCTAGCCTGTATCAATGTATTTGGTTCAATAAGATGTTTCTGTAAGGCACTCCATCAGAGATCTCATAATGAAAGTAAACTATTCTCTCTATAAAGCCATTATCATAGGTCAACAGATGGTCATAGCATATGACACATAAATTTTACGGTGGCAAGAGCTATATAAATTCTTGTTTTAAAATAATTTGTCCATTCTGTTTTAACACTAGTATCACTTTTTAAATGTCAAACGTGTCTGCCAGCAAACTATTTCCAATCTCTATACATAAAGAGTTTTTGAATTTTAAAAGTATAGGGTAATAATAAAAATATCTTTGAGCCCTCTTTCTTTCTTCTGTGCTTAGGGTATTCTTCATCTCCTTTTTTTCTATCTTAGTTCCCACCAACTAGGAATTCTTAGTCGTCTGATCAGGTGGAAAGATTGAAGTGCTCTTTGCTCTGTTCACTGTTACAGATTTACTTTAACACTGTCTTCTCAGTCTGGTTTGTTTTTATTAAAATTATAGACCTTACTTTTAGTAGGTAACTCTAAATGAAAATCAGATATGCAATTTCTTATTTTGGTTGTTCTCACTGAAAATTTCAAGGATTAACTATTGGACAATCTAAACATGTTCTCAACCCTGGTATTAGTAAACTTTTAATGAGTTAGCAGGGCCAGTATCTATTAGTACTGACAATAAGAGCCTATCTTCATTTTTGTTGTTAATCCTCTCCTGAGGATATTTTGCCATTGATTTTTAAAGAGAGTGGAAGGGAGGGGGTGGATGGGGGAGAGAGAGAGAAACATCGATGTGAGAGAGACACATCAATTGGTTGCTTCCCCACATGCTACCTGATGAGGGCCGGGGATCGAGCCTGCAACCGAAGTATGTGCCCTTGACCAAAATCGAACCTGGGACCCTTCAGTCTGCGGGCTGATGCTCTATCCACTGAGCCAAACTGGCTAGGGCATCATTTTTATTTCATACACCATGGTTTTTATTATAGTATTTTGCAGATAGTAGTTACTCAAATATCTTGGACTGTTTGAGAGGATATCATTGATGTTCTTCAGTTAAATATTTTAAATAACAAAACAAGCCAAACTCTTTTAACTGAAAATTGAATCACATGATGGGAGTTTGCTGTAAGGAACTGTATTAAATATTCGTTTATTTTTCTAAACTCTGTAACTTAACCCTTCAGTAACCCAAAGCTTAACATGAGGAAGAGATTTCTATAGCTCGGGACTTTATCCTTCTTCCTGCTTAGCTCAGGTATCAGCAAAGTACTCCTAAAAACATTCTGGTGACTTCTCCTTTGCACCCACCCACATGTAAAATATTATAGTTAGTAAATCAATTTTTCTAAACTTTAGCATTTATTTACCTTCCCACTACCTATTCTGAAGCTCGCTACCTCAGAATGTTTCCCTTCTCCACAGCAGACTTGGCTGGCAGGAAGTAACTTTAATGAGCTTGTCACAGAGCCCACATAACAAGCCTGAGCCACACACAAGGGAGAGAACTCAGCTAAGGTTAAAGTTTTGATGGGGACATAAAAGCAGGCAGTGCTGATAGTGGACAGTAATTAGGGTAGAGAAGCATCTCAAGTTCTTTAGGGCTGGGTCTCTCAAGTTGGCTTCATTGTTTTGTTATTGTGGGGAGTAGCCAGAGATCAAATGTGTATTTATTCAAATAAAGTTACTAATATTGAATACAAATCTAAATATTAGAAAATAAATATTTCTTGTGTCCCCATTAATTGTTATCGCTAAAAATGACTAAGGACACATAATATATGACATAATATAACTGAAAGCAGAAAAATTTATAGCCCATTAGAAATGCTAGATATGGTTGTCAATACAAACCATTGCGCAAAGCTTCACTTGAATAAGCTGTATATGGTTTATCTGTCAGTTTCTGAAAATTGTTGAGTTCTGATAAAGTGGAACAGTGTTGCTAGGTGGATTTTGTTTCTGGTTACTCCAGCTTATCTACAGAGACTGTTTTAGGAAAAAAGGAGTATTTTATTTTATTTATTTAGTTTTAAAATATTTTTATTGATTTCAGAGAGGAAGGGGGAGGGAGAGAAAGGTAGAAATATCAATGATGAGAGAGAATCATTGCATGCCCCCTACTGGGGATCAAGCCCGCAACCTGGGCATGTGTCCTGACCAGGAATAAACTGTGACCTATGGGTCATACATTGGCACTAACCATTGCGCAACAGCAGCTGGGCTTATGATGCATTTAAAAAATCAATTTATGGTAGGCCATAATCTACAGGGCCAAATCATTCTTGAATACTGTCAGATTGTTCTCTTTAAATGATTGGACAATTTCTTTCATCTTCTCAATTTTAGAACGGCGAGAGTATCATGGTTGAACTTGCAGCTGGACCTTTTGGAAATAATGAAAAGGTAGCGATGGCATTTAAACAGAACTGGCTGCCACTGTATGTATGTGTGTCCAGTTAATAATTTGCCTTCCTGTGTAATTAATTGGTCATGTCGTGCATGTTAAGGTATTGTAAAACTTTATTTCTCACAGAATATAGCCCTTTTCTTAGTTATTCTAAATTATTAAATACCTATTGACTTGGGTTTCATCCTAGAATGATGGAAACTTGGTGGAAGCCACTGGTCAACCCTCAGCTCCCCATGAGAAAGTAAGGATTGTATTTCAGATATGTTCATTGGACTTTAAATTATAGCCTCTGAGACAAGACTCTTCTTTGGGGGAAAACAATCCAGATTGCCAAAAAAAAAAAAAAAAACCTGTTTCAAGGCCTGAGTCATATTTTTGCTAAAAATGGAAAAGAGGTTAGATGTGGGGATACTAGAAGTCATACTGTTAACCCTACACGTGTTTCGTTTTTTCCAGAACTACATATCTCTTTCTTTCAAGCTTCCTATACATTCAGAATATATATGTGTCTAGTTTATGTTTTCTAATTTCAAGTTCTTCTAAATGTCAGTTTTAAAATGTTAAAACAATCATTCTAATATTAATTCTTCCTTTTCTAAAAGGTATGGGTAAAAATTCCCAAGAGGGTTTATTGGTGACCCTTTTTCTTTTCTTTTTTTTTTTAAATAATTACAGTTACCAGTAGTCATCAAAGTACCAAAGCTGGCATATTTCTCAGTAATGAGTGTATGCCCCATGCCAGTTTCCATATTGGGTTTTGGAGATATTATTGTACCAGGTAAGCAATTGTTTGTAACAATTTCAGTAAAAAATACTGATCATTTCAATTTGTCAGATGTATAGTATTTGTTAAAAGTTACCTACTCTGTATTAAGTATCTCTTGGCTAACGCTAGAGCTGGGATCAATGATAAAGAAAGAAAAAAGCATTTTGAGTGGTAGAAGACAAAGCCCAATTGGTAACAACCAAAGTATATCTTCCATGGCTCAAAAAGTCTCTTAGAGGAAGCAACTAGGATCAGTTTGACCTTCTTCCTAAAGGAAGTATAATATATTCGAAACCCTTTTTAAAAATTTAATTCAATAATACCAAATGTATTATAATTTCTGTTACTTCTGTTTTAAAATAATAGTTACGTTTTAGGAAAAGTGGTTTAGTAAAAGTGATTTAGAAACATAGTAAACACTGCCCTATAGGGCACTATAATACAAAACATATAGCATAGTATATGGTGGAGTTGATGAGCTTTTAACATGTCTTCTCTGACCGTTATTGCAGCTCTGCATTATTTTTCTCATTGGGCTACCCGTAGAATAAACTTCACCCCAGCCCACTAAAAATACAGTTTAGAAGTAATTAATATTTCTCAAGTAGCTGACACTTTGTCCTTCCTCACGTTTCTTATCGTTTCCCTGGGTCCTAAGTGCCTGTGGATGGGTAAAAAGTACTAGCTCTTATGAAAAATACGCACACACACCAAAAAAAACATTTTATTTACATAGTAAAGCCAAGTAGAGAGAAAATATAACAGTGTTGTGTTATGAGTTGTGGTGGTGGTTTTAAGAAAATAACGCTGAGTGTTTTTTCTTTTAAGGCCTGTTGATTGCATACTGTAGAAGATTTGATGAGCAGACTGGTTCTTCTTCTTCTATATACTATGTCTCCTCCACAATTGGTAACTTTTTTGTGTGTTTTTTTTATTATGTTGAATTGTGTTATATGTAGGAAAAGGTAGAGGTCTAAAAATAAGGAGCTCTCAATTCTAATTCATCATCACTAACTAATAAGACAAATATTTTTTCCCATCAAAAAGGAATAATTATACTTTACTACCTACTTCACAAGGTTTTTGAGGCTTAACAAGGAAATTATATGTGAAAGAAAAACATTACATTTTATATGTAAAATACTTATTAGAGCAACTGGCACACAAGTAGTCAAATTATATAATACTAGATTTGAAAAAAATACTGTATGGATAACTATGTATTTATATAAATGAACTTATGGCACAATAACATCTCACCTAGGATAGCAAGTAGTTGTTACTTATCTCTGTTTCTATTGTTTGTTTTTTTAATATATTTTATTGATTTTTTTACAGGGAAGAAGGGAGAGGGATAGTTAGAAACATCAATGAGAGAGAAACATTGATCAGCTGCCTCCTGCACACCCCCTACTGGGGTTGTGCCTGCAACCAAGGTACATGCCCTTGACTGGAATCGAGCCTGGGACCATTCAGTCTGCAGGCCGACACTCTATCCACTGAGCCAAACCAGTTAGGGCTATAACTTGTATCTTTAAAAGACTACAGCAATAGGGCAAAGCTGTAGTGAAGGCAGGAATACCAGTGCCAAGTCATTGCCATAATGGTAGACAAAAGATGTAGTCCCCCCGTTTTCCATGGCAGGGAATATCTTCCAAGATCTCCAGAGGATGCTTGGAGCCATAGAAAGTGCCCAACCCTATATATACTGTGTGTTTTCCTATGCATACTTCCCTGTGATAAAAATTAAGTGACCCAACAAAATTATTTTCGTTGCTACTTCATAACTGTAATGTTGCTACTGTTATGAATCCTAATGTAAATATCTGATATGCAGGATGGTCTTAGGCAACCCCTGTGAAAGGGTCGTTCGACCGCCAAAGGGGTTGCGACCCACAGGTTGAGAACCGCTGCTCTAAGGACATTAACATTAAGAGCCTAGCACCAGTTACTGTGATACAATAAAAGAAGACTTGGTGAAAAGGTGAATAATAGGGACTGTGTCACTTCTGTTGTGTCACTTTGGCCAGCTCACTTCACTTCCCTGGTCCTCCATTGCCGCCTCTGTAAAATGAGGAGGTAGACTCAGTTGTCTGTAAAGGCCCTTCCAGCTCCAATATTCTCAGATCCCATGTTCAAAATGAGACCCCGAGTCATTAAGAAAAAATGAAATGATATTTGGTATGCTCTTGTTGCACAAGACCAGGAAATACATAATCAATGTGAGGAAGATTTTTTTCAAAGCAATCATTAGTACCTACGGGTCCAAATTTTAGTTATCTAAAATGTGAGACAACTCAAAATCCTTAATGGTAACAGATACATGAGACTTGAATTATTATATTTACCTATGGTTGATGGTTAGTATTTATACTAACCAGTTTCCAAGTTTTTCAAAAGCCCTATAGAATGTCTCTCCTAATTACAGTCTAGGAAAATAATGACATTATGAAAAGAAGTCATAGGGTAAAATCGTCCTCAAATACTTGAAAACCAGTACTTCAACTAGGGATTTAAAAAATCCACCTTTGGCCCGGCTGGTGTGGCTCAGTGGTTGAGTGTCGACCTATGAACCAGAAGGTCATGGTTCTATTCCCGGTCAGGGCACATGCCGGGGTTGCAGGCTCGATCCCCAGTAGGGAATGTGCAGGAAGCAGCCGATCCATGATTCTCTCTCATCATTGATGTTTCTATCTCTCTCTCCCTCTTCCTTCCTCTCTGAAATCAATTAAAATATTTTTAAAAAGAAAAGCCCTAGCTGATTTGGCTCAATGGACAGAGGGTCAGCCTGCAGACTGAAGGGTCCCAGATTCGATTCCAGTCAAAGGCACATGCCCAGGTTGTGGGCTCGGTCCTCAGTAGGGGGTGTGCAGGAGGCAGCTGATCAATGTTTCTCTCTCATCATTGATGTTTCTCTCTCTCTTCTCCCTTCCCCTCTCTGAAATAAAATTAAAATACATTTTTTAATCTTTTAAAATCCACCTTTGGAAGCATTCAGAAATGACTGATATCTGTTATTCTTTTTGCAGCCTATGCTGTTGGCATGATAATTACCTTTGTTGTTCTGGTGCTGATGAAAAAGGGGCAACCTGCTCTCCTCTATTTAGTACCGTGCACACTTATTACTGCCTCAATTGTTGCTTGGAGACGTAAAGAAATGAAAAAGTTCTGGAAAGGTAGCAGCTATCAGGTATGTGCTTATATTTTAGATGCCAAGTTATCTTATGAAATAATTCAGTGACTAACTTTGGCTGGAACTGCCTATATGTATCTAAGCTTTTATGTGCCAAGTATTTATCTTGGATCTCTCAGGCTGTCCTTTAAGTTTTTTCCACTATTGCCCCTTCCTGTCCACCTGCTGCATCATCAGTTTTCATCACCACTGCAATCTGATGCCAAAATCCTGGTGACTCAGGAAGGAGTGGGAGGGCATCAGGAAAAAGCAAAACATATTTCGACATGTTTTCAGAATGCACACAAATGTAGACTTCATGGAATATAAAACTATGTTTACTGAATTTTGAGACTGACATTAGCTATTTATAGTGAGAGTCCTAAGGTTTTTCAGATAAAAAGTATACCCTTGCTCTGGCCAGTGTGGCTGAGTTGGTTGGAGCATCATCCCATATACTAAAAGGTTGCGTCCCAGGTTGGTCATGTACAGAAGGCAACTGATTAATCCCAGGTTGGTCATGTACAGAAGGCAACTGATCAGTGTTTCTCTCACACCAATGTTTCTCTCTCCGTTTCCTTCCCTTCCCCTTCCTCTCTCTCTCTAAAATCATTAAAAAAAAACCCCACCATATCCTCAGGTGAGGATTTAAAAAAAAAGTATACCCTCTTCAGCATCTAAATGGGCCTAAGTAAATTAAATAGAGCACTCATTTTAGATTGACCTTTTTATAAAATTTCAGGACACAGAAAATCTTAATACCAGACTACTGTGTTTGAGTTGTGCCTTCATTGAAGTTAAACTCCTTTCTTCTTTTTCTGAATGTTCTTGGTATTCGACTAAAGTCTGTTTGCATTGAAATGAAAGAGGGTTGGGAAACCCTCACCATTAAGGTCAGGGTCATGGCATTGATCCCTTCACAAGGCAGTTAGCACTGCTTTGCCCTATTACAACAAACTGCCCTCCTCCATCCACCCCCCATGCATGTGTGTCAGTGGTCACATGAACAAAACAGAGGTACTTTGGGTGGATGACGCAATTCTGTTAGTAGATAAACAGTTCAAAGTTCATATTCATCTTGTAGTTGGTCTGTAGTATCATCTTTATTTAACAAGAGGTGATTAACACATTAAGTTAGACCAGTTGGAAAAGCACTGATCTGGAATTCTTTTTGGATAAATCTTGTAATTTCTCTGAAATTTAGATAAAAATAACAACACCTGCCTTACTTCACAATGCCATTGTCTCAACATGTATTTATACACGTAGAATCAGTTTATGGTCACAAGGTCTGTGACTAAACTTGTAAGATAGGTTGCAACTTTTCCATTAAAAGGACACATAGAATTTTTATTTTTACAGATTTAAAAAAATAAAGTATGTCCTATAACACATATTCTACTACTATACTAGCCTTTGAAAGCCACAACCCAAAAAGTGCTCTTCATCATCATTTTTTAAAAACATCTTTTTATTGATTTCAGAGAGGAAGGGAGAGGGAGAGAGAGAAAAAAATATGAATGATGAGTGAGAATCATTGATTGGTTGCCTCCTGCACATCCCCTACTGGGGATCGAGCCCGCAACCCAGGCATGTGCCTTGACTGTGACCTCATGGGTCATAGGTTAACACTCAGCCACTGAGTCACACCAGCCAGGCTCTTCATCATTATTTTTTAAAATAATTTTATATTTTTTCATTTAGCAAATGTTTATTGAGCAGTTCTGTGACCCAGGACTATTTTAGCTGGTGATAAAATATGAACAAGTTAGAGGTCTAACTCTTAAAAGTGAGAGTGCTGTGGGGAATACAGATGGGATCACTAATGATACGGTGTGATAAATATACTAGTTATGGTAGGTGCCATGAAAGCTAGCAGGGGACACCCATTGCTTATAGGATCATGACTGAGTCAAAGGTGATTTGGGGAAGGCTTTAAAGAATGTTAAATTTGCCCGGGCAGTGTCGCTCATTGGTTGGGTGTTGACCTATGAACCAGGAGATCATGGTTCGATTCCCAATCAGGGCACATGCCCAGGATGTGGGCTGGATCCTTAGTAGGGGGCATGCAGGAGGCAGCTGATCAATGATTCTCTCTCATCATTGATATTTCTGTCACTCACCCTCCCTTCTTCCTGAAATCAATAAAAATATCTTTTTTTTAAATTTTTAATTTTTAACTTTATGTTGAGACTT